CACTACACGGTGTGAGCCGCTCCGTGTGTGCGCTTCATTTCAGCTCCGCAGCTCTCCGCCGGGCTCTCACCACTGCCTCATGTCTGCCTCCGCTGCGCGGAGAGATGGACCAATGGGAGACGAGGAGCCCTGCCGCGGTGCACTCTGGGAGGTGGAGTTCGATGCTATCTAGCCAATCAAAATAGTATATTTCAATATAGAAAGTACAACCAAACGTTAATATAATATAATATAATATAATATAATATAATATAATATGATTGAACTGTTTGCAATTTGTTGTTGTTATTATTATTATCATTATTAAAGTTGTAGTAGTAGTAGTAGGCTATTTTATTGTTGTTTTGTTGAAGTTTAATTTAATTGTCATTTTAGCCTTTATTTATTCATTTATTTTATTTAGCCTTTATTTATTTTATGTCCAGATTTATTAAAAATAGCTGTAATTAATTAATTAATTGATTGATTTTTTTTAAAAAAAAATAACAGCTGAGCTATTTTTGTGAAATCAGGGCGTAAAAAAAACACAAAAATATATATAAAAATAAATACATAAACATTAAAACATCCAAAATTCAACCTGAGCTTGAATTTAAATCGAGCATATGATGGATTAAAAAAAAATCAATCACCTTATTGTTGTTATATAGAAAAACAAGGTGACAATAAAAAAATCTAAAAGATGAGCTGAGGTATTAATAGTAGAGATGTGAATCACCAGAGGCCCCACCATATGATGTTTTCATGATATGTAAGTCACAATACAATATTATTGCGAATTTAAATGTTTTGTGATATGCTAAGTATCGCGATAACCCATATTGTGATATATTGCGATTTATTACTTTTTTCAACTGCAAATAATGAAAGAAAAATTCTGTCAACATCTGTTTTTGTTTAATAAGATAAAGTTTTCACTCCGTTAATCTCACTTTGGTCATTTTTATTGCAGCAAAATGTATCTCATGGATGGAATAACCAACTGACTTTATTATTCTAGTAGGCTACCCACATTTTAATTTGGATTTACAATATTAATAATTTATTGAATTAAAAGATTGATACTTGCCATCCATGTATTGATACAATTTAGCCACGCAAAATACCGTGATATTATGTTGTATCAATATTTTACCCCACCCCTAAATAATAATAATATTCCAGTCACACCTGACGATTATCAGCAGTAGTAGCCTATCTATCTCTTTCTATCAACTATTAAAAAATAAATGTGGGTTTCAACTATGCATTTTAGATTTTCACACATCTCCAGAAAAAAATAGAGCGGCACCATGAAGTTTCCATTCCTGTTCAAGCCGCTTATAAGTAAACAGAATGGCATAGTGAGCACAATGAATAGTTTATTACATGTACTTAGAAGTAAACTGAAGTATTAAAACATTGATTCGAGCTACAAACAGTATCTCTGAGGCTGACAGTCCCGTGTTTGTCACATAAAGAAGTGTCAGCTTTTTTGTTTTGTTTTGTCCACATTGTGAATTTCTAATGGAGCGAGAAAAATGTTCTAAGCAGAGTAGAAAATGAACATATGAATCATTTCATCCCTCTAAAACCCAGGTGACATGTTGTAGCTTTAAGATTAGAACATAACTTTATTACTCTGTGCTGCACATAAATCATTTAAATGGAATCTATTGTGCATGGAGAGGGGTGTTTGAGGAGGATTTTTTCTGACTCTGAGAGCACCAGCGTTTCTCCTGCAGAGGAAGAGCAGGCCACGCCACCAAGAGCCCTGCTGCCATGCTTGTAAACATTTCATTTGTACTGATTTTAATGGAGTTCCACTGTTGCATGAATGTTATCTTAGATTTACCAGCCCTTTATAGGGAATAATAATAATGTAATGGGAAACACTGGCATGCAACTGTATGCAAATGTTTTAGGTAAAAATGAAACTGCTCCAAACCAGCATGCGGTGTGCGTGTGTGTGTGTGTGTGTGTGTGTTGTTATCAGAAATTATTACTATTCTCATGTATTTTGTGTACACTTTTGGGGGCTCACTGCTCAATTTGGAAAATTGCTCCAGCACAGATCCTCAATATTAGATAACCTACTGCCCCAGGGATAATTACTTTCCTGTGCATTATATAATTCTTTTTGGAGTCATATTCATAGATACACTCATTACAATGATTTAGTCCTCTCTCTGCAACACATTATTCATTCGAAAGGAAAAGGCTATTCATAGCATGTTCATGGTTTCTCAAAACACAACCTCCCATCCTGCTCCACTGCAGATATCCAACCTTCCTCTATTCTATTGTGCTGTTTATGTTTCTGATCTCTGATTTAACTTTTTATTTAACCTACCTATGTTCTATTTATATTATTCCAATCCAGGTGTATGCAGTTTTCTTCTCTTTCTCTTGTGTTTTGCAGTATTAAAAACACTCAGCACTCACTGCACTTTTCTCTGGATCTATATAGATTTCTTTTATCTAGTCAGGTCCCATCTGAGAACCATCTGCACACCACATAATATTGAGACCTACTTCTTGAATTTCTAATTTTAGATTTTGATACATAAAAACTCATATTTTTTTCTCTATAGTACCTAAAGTTTTCTCCTTGAAAAGTTTTTTCTTATCTGAATTGAGGGTCTAAAGGAAAGAGGGCACTGCATGTTGTGCAGACTGCAAAGCCCTCTGGGATGTGATTTGGGGTTATATAAATAAAATTGACTTACAGCTACTGAAAATTTGGTTTTCAACCCTAAGTATTTTATTTATTTTCTATACACTTAATTCATTATGGTGAAACAACCAACAACTCAGTTTTAAATTAGGAAAATAAACATCCGTAAAGATTCTGTATGCAACATTCAGAGCATTAATATCGCAGCAAAGAACTGTTTGCTATGTAAAGACATCATGGAGTGATGGTGTCCTAAGCAGAGAATTAAGCCACGCTCCCTCTGTTTGTGTTTTAATCCAAGCTTCTCTGTTCTTTGTTTTGGTGGACAGTCTAGCAGTGTGTGCATATTCATGCATGTGAGCTCCTATGCTTGTCCCACTGGCGAATTGTCACCACACTCATACAGTGGTTAACGCGTATAACTCCATCCCACCTAGAACCCACTCTTTGCCCCCCCCCCCAGGTTAACAGTAACCCTGTTACCACTGTTGCCATGGTTAGCGCTGTTTACTGCGTTAGCACCATTAGCCAACTCATTCTCCTCAAGAACCATGTTCAGACTATCCCGCCCCAAACTCTGAATCATAGATATGCTTTGAATGTTGCATACAGATCCTTTATAGAGTGTTGCAGTGATGATGTTTATTTGTAGTTCAATACTGAAGTTAGCCTGCCCTGATTCCCTCGACCAAAAGCCAATGCGACTTTTCAATTGGTCTTTGATTATTGCAGAAAATAAACTCTGTCACAAGCAAAAGTTTATGATACTTGCATGTTTTGTACAGCAGGATAATCTGCACAAATGAATGCTACTTTTATGATTTGTGAAGTAATTGCAATCACCAGAAGTAAAATGCTAACATTAGGCTATAAGTTAACTACAGCATGGCCACATGACTTCAACGTCATCACCACAACGAAGCTGTAAGGTCATATTCAGCATGATGACGCTTTGTAGTCTCATTTAGCCACTTGTTAGCAACCGTCTTTTTTAAAGGCTTCAGAATTCACAAGTGAGGTATTTACTGACATATTTTATGTCGTAGAAAACATAAAAGTCTCTTAAGCTTGTTTACCACAGACCCTATTTCAGGCATCTAACCAAAAACCCATTGACTTCAAGACGAGGGAACCAGGAGTGCTAAAATGCTAACTCATTTCCAGGTTTTAGGACTCATTCCTGCAGCACTCTGTTTAATAAACACTTAAAAATTCAGCTAATCTGCTTCATTGGGACTGTGTGGGTGTGGTTTGATCAGATTTTGTCAACAGAGACCAAACAACCCACAAGTGTTAACCATATGTTGACCCAAATGTTGCTAAATACTGATGAATAAAAGTTTGTAACATCATGTTTTTCCAAGCCCACTTCAAACCAGTGGAAAAATACACAGGAAAAACAAATGCAGAAATCTAATTTAAATGAAGCAAACTATCCTAACTTTAGCAGACTGTTCTGTGTTCATAAAGGACCCCATCGATCACAGTAAGAGGCTGATTGGGAAAATATGTTTTCAGGGGCCTTTAACTTGAAATAAATGTAGATAATAATCCACACCACAGCTGTGCCAAGGCTTAAAAAAAGAACACTCCAACTCTGCTTCTCTTTAATTACATCCTGGTCTTTTGGGATTGGTTCAGAAAAATCAATAAGGGATACCTGGCTTGCCTTTTCAATGTCATTCATCAAAGGCGTCCATACTGTTTTGTTCAATCTGTTCAGTTATTGCCAGTTTTTATAACTTGAGCTATGATAGGAAAACACCAGGTTGATTTCCCCGTATGTCCGTGACTTATTAGACCAAGAAAAGCAATTTTGACTTCCATATGATCACCAGACCTTAAAGTGCAGTGAAATAGTATCTGAAAATATCAACCAAACTTGGCAGAGAGTGGTAATTTCAGTCTATTCCCAGGTGGGGCTGTAAATGCATGCATGGATGGACACATGAAATAGCTACAACAGAAAATGTGAATGTTGATGTCAGCGGCTGATACCCCGAATCATTATAAGGGACATTCGTCATGCGGCCCACAGTGTTGGCAGATGCTTTTTTTTCTGTCTACAATGTAAAAGAGGCAAAGTGGCTGAGGCTGAATTGAATCAAAACCCTTAAACCAAAAAAAAAAAAAAAAAAGCCCCGGCGCATGAACAGTGTGCATCCAGATGGCCTATGGTTCAGCTCAGCCACAGGGGGTCTCCACTACACACCAGAATATCATGTTCATCTGTGAGACCCAGAGCAATTTGCAGTGGCCTTTTATGTTATCAGTGTGATCAGACAGACTGTAGCTCAGATCATCAGTGAGAGACACAAGGCAGAAATACTAAAGACACAGCACATTGGGATTGCCGTTTTCCTTTAATTCATTTGATCCGTCAAAGGATTTACAAAGCCTGCTATTTAAATGCTATTTTTTACCAAAACGATAATACCATTCATGAATACAGCTGCACATTGTCGACATATCCAGACTCCAATGAGATTATTATGTGCAGAGTAGCACCCAGAAAGTCAACGAAGAGGCAATATTTCATATCATAATAGTTCTCTCTGTTATAGATAGAAATAAATCCATGCAATATTCATCTCTAGCCGTTATATTTCTTGTTTCAGATTTGGCACCATCCTTAAGATGAGGTCAGAGGGAGCGCCCTGAGGTCAGACTCAGGTTTCTTATTTCGGAAATAAAGACAGTAATTATCCTGAAAACAATTTGAGTCCAATAGTTTGTGACAGTCCAGTATCAGTTTGATTCTTAATGCGATGGCTGTTCAAGTACCAAGAGGAAATTTCTTTAGATTTTACAGAAACAATGATGCAAAAAGCCTGAACCACCGAAGGGATCATATTATGTAAACCGACCCTTTCCATTATTTTTAAAAAATACTCAGATAGTATCAATAATTGCATGATTTATAAATGTTTTTTTTTTTTTTTTTTTACTCCTAAGTATCATACAAGCTTAGTAGCACTACACGTCATGTAGCTGTCAGTGCTGTGCAACAAATATTCAATAATACTACTGATAATAACAATATTAATAACGATCATAACAATTCATCGTAAAAATTAGCAAATGCTATTCAACTACCATGTAAAGGAAATGTTTCGACAGTGTGCTTTTTCTTCCAAAAACAAACAAAACGGAGAAGAAGAAAAAAAAAGGCTGTGGGAGCACGGTGTGAAGATCACACTGCTCTCACAGAAATTGGCACTGTAACATACTGTACACTCTAAAAGACTGACAGTCCCTCGGAAACAGAGGGGGGCTGTCAAAAAGGAGCGGAGAAACATGCAGGCCTCTGGTTTGGCATTAATGTCAAAGGCCTTGCCATTCACTCTAGGACAGGCAAAAGGAATCAGGCTCAGGAAACATGCCCAGAAAACAAATGAGACCGTTAAGGAAATAAGAGGAAAAAATGTCCTGCAACTTGTAAAAATATTCCAGTCGAGGGCTGCAGGATTAAACCGATAGTGTCTCCGATTTGAAGTGGATGAAATATACGGAGAGTAAATCAAACAGTGCAGCAAAGGTAGAATGCATTAGAGCGGGCCAGGGAAGGAGGTGGCAGATTCATAAATAATTTTTGACCTAAGGGTTGTTTGCACAGTGATAACCCTGAAGAACTCATCTCGCTGTTGAAACATTAGCTCGGCACTTTTCAATAAATAGAGAGTCTATTTATTTATTTGCGGCAGAACTGATGTGCAGCCACCTCCTTCTTATTACCAGAGCAGTTGGCACAAGCTGAAATAATTCACTATGCGAGATAAGGTTTCTGTTTCTGGGCTCTAATCTGGATCTGACTGTACTGCAGCGCTAAAACGAGCGGGTTAATTGTTTGTGACTCTGGAGGCAAATTGCAAGAGAAACCACTAGTGAGGGAAGTGTCAAATTTCAGTAGTGCTTTCAGTAAGTGTTGCTACAAATAGTCAAACCTGTGCACTGAAAGCGATAAAAAACTAACTCAAATTATGCTCAAGATAATACAAAGATTAATGCTTTTTTTTATTCAGATAAAGGGAAGGGAAATAAATGTTTAAAAAAGTTGTAGACACTGGGCAAATTTCTGTTTCCTGAGGCATGTTAAGATCTAGCACAATAAAAGAAAAAAACATCTCTCATCTCATTAAGCACTGAGCAAGGCTGTTCTCTAATAACAAAGCAATAACAAACCTATTTAACAAGACATGATACGCTCACTGGGTTGCCAGTTTGGTAGCTGACTCCCCCAAAACCTTCAGCCACCAGGACAGAGCTGACCAACAACAGAGTGTCCACCTGGCAAAACTCAACTCAACGCCTATGGCCAGTAGCTTCAGGTGTGGTGAAGACAGAGAAGACAGGCAACGCCATGCCTGCACCCGTACAGCTCTACCCGCAGGTCATCAGAGGATGGTGCAGAAGAACTTCTTCTCCCGGAAAGGGTTCTCGGAGGCGGGGACGGGCATGATGAGGGGGTCCTCGCGTATGTGGGCGTCGCAGTACGCCATCAGGTCTGCAGCTGCTTTGGAGACCTGAAATGTTGAGACAAAGGAGAAGGACATGCATGTGTGATCAGATGTTGCTCTGACGATTACATAACAGCTATTACATAAACTCATTAACATAGGATCACAGAGAGGTCTCCTTCACTTGACTCCGTCTCTTTACCTAAATCTTACATGATGTTTGGGATGTTTTTGGATTATTAAATTTGAAGCTTTGTCACGCTCTTCTGCAGCGCACCATGTTTTATTTACAACATTTTCAGCTGTCTTGCCTTCATCAACTCGGTGTCTGAGGTTGTTTCCGGTTTTCTATGTATAATTCATCAGTCATGTGACTTAAAAGTTCAAATCCAGCTGGGGACCTTTGCTGCATCGCTCTCTATCCATCTTTTACTCTCATCTCTCCCCTGTTGCTATCGAATAAATATAGAGAATGCCCCCAAAATAACTGGACAGTAGACAATGTAGATGCTGCAAGTGTTTTTAGACTAATATGAACTTTGTTAACGGAGTAGAGTGTTAAAGTGTTAAAGGTATAATATGCAGGGATTCCTAATTTATTATACAATGTATGGGCTCATACAAAAGTAATCCCTCTCAGTCATCACTTATGACCTACTGGAAGTGTGTGGCAGTGTATTTATCTGCAGAGACTCTGCCCTTATCTTACTGTGTTTGCGACGTTCCTGGGCACAGCGCTCAGGTGAGTTCAGGACCTTATAAAAAGGTAGCGACCAGGTACCAGACTATAAGCAGCAGGCATCCAAGAAGAAGATACAATAATTAAGGACGCAGTAGTAAAAAAATTAAAGTATAGCGAATTTCGAATTGGCTTTCATTTTAATTTTCAGTACTGCTCAGTACTTTCAGTATTTACTCTACTGCTTACAAATAGTAACCAACGATTCCCGCACAGTGCTGTATACCTTTATAATGACTCAGTTGAGTATATCTACACTTGTGACAGACACAAAGTAGAGCTGGGACTGATAGAAATGCCATTAGTTTTTGCAAGCATTTGGTCATAAACCTAGGTAATGGATAAAATGGAATTTTCGCCAGATGGTGGCACTGGAAGAAATGTCCATAGATCACCAAAGTCATAAGGATTTATCCTCTGAGGGTCATGAATGTCTACACTGAAATCATCAAATAGTTCACAATGTGCTAGACTGACTACCATTAATGGGTTTATATTTATTGTATTTTGTGTAGTGCTGGAGTACTCGAGATCAGTCTTGGTCTAAAGACCACTTTTTGAAGTTCTTTGGCTCGTCTTGGACTTGATTGCATTTTCACTCAGTCCTGTCTCGGTCTCGGAAAAACAGGATTCTGGATTTTATGTCAAGATCGGTCAGGACCACAGCTATGGGGATATCACTAAATTGCCTGTGCAAAAAAGAGCCACTTAGTGTTTTTATATGTTTTCTTACAGGAATTCACACACATAAAATTTCCCTCTGCAATGCCTTTAGATTATTAAAGTATATCTCAATAAACGAGGTGAATGAAGAGGAATCTTTATGTTTTCTGCAGGGCTGCAACTAACGATTATTTTCATTGTCGACTAATCTGTCGATTATTTCTTCAATTAGTCGACAAATCATTTTATCGAAAAATGAGTTAAAATGTAGAAAAAATGTCGGTCTGTCTCTCCCAAACCCCAAAATTATGTCATTTAATGTCTTGTTTCGTACTCGCGCCTGAACATAAGACGCTGTAATAAGAGTATTTTGGGGTACTTTTATAGTACTTTTCTATGAAAATGACTCGAACCGATTAGTCGACTATTAAAATAGTCACCGATTATTTTAATAGTCAATCAGTCATCGATTAGTCGACTAATCATTGCAGCCCTATTTTTCTGTAGGTGTTTTTATGGGAATTTGGAGCTTTAAGATCAATTTGAGGATCTCTTTGGTTTGCATGTTCCACATTTTATTCTAAGTGTGTTCTGCAGCGAGGTATTCGCACTCGTCTTGTCTCGGTCTTGATACACTCTGGTCTCAGTCACGACTTGGTCTTGGTTTAGGTGGTCCTGACTACACTGATTTTGTGAAAACTTTAAAGTAAATACTGTATAGGTGAACATTTCAAGGTTAATAAAGCATGAAGTACTGGAGACGTGTTGTATGTGTTTTAAATTTTGATAGACTTGCACTGAACTCGCTGTGTGTTTGTTCTCAGAGAAAGTGTTTGTGGAGCCAACTCGCACCAGATGAGACATGTCCAAAATCTGGATGACTGTTACATGGCTCTTTTTTCTTAGAAATTGCACATCATCTGTGTTTGAGACTCAACAAGCCTGTGGCGACTGCACTGATGCCTGTTACCTCAGCCTCAGGCAACAAGAAGAGACAGCTCATCTGGATGACTGACAAGTGTTAAGGTGGGACCTTGACCGGCTGAAGGGAAAGGAGGGCGGGACTAACAACGCACTTTCTGCCTCAAAAGTTGCACAGTGTATTTCTCAAAGTCAAACTACTATAAATTTTACAGTACAGACAGACTGCATGTAAATGTGGGCTTCTACTTGGGAGCTGAGTGGAAGGTTACGGGAGGGGAGGCTGCAAATGGAGAGCAGGAGGAGCAGCTGCATCAGAGGGACGGCGAGGGCTCAGGGATCTACGTGGAGGACAGAGCCATCTGATCTCCTGTCTGCCATTTCACCTCACCCACCGCTGCTCTCACAGGAGAATACAACACACTAAATCCATCATGCTGCTAATCAGCTTTAGCCTTAAACGTGGATTATTGCAATATTATTTTTACAGTCTCACAGCATAAAATAATTTGTCTAAAAGGTTTCCCAGGTGAGATTTCTGTATTTGAAAAGGAACAATAAGGCTGGTGTTATTCTCCATTTTTCTTATTGTCACCAAATCCCCAGAAAAGACCATTAACCAACAATGTGTTAGTCAGTCTATCAATTCTCTCTGACTTCCCTACCCAGTGGCACTCAGCCCCAAGCCCATTTGTTCCCACTGTAAATCTATTATAACAGCACACATATATATACTGTCCCTTTTACAAAAGGCTCGGAAATTTCCTAAAACAGCTGGGCACTGTCGATTCTAACAAAGGTTAATCAAACAGGAGGAAATAGCGCAGTTGCTGAGGACTATTTTCAGCCGTGGATTCATACACATTTGTTCTGTTGCAACAATGCAGCTCATTAATGTGTTTTTAATGTGTTTGGATGACAATGGAGGAAGAGAGGTATGAGATTGATCATGGTTTGGCTACACATTAATTATTTGGTTTTGGTCTTTTCATGGATTTTGATGATTTTGAAAATGTATTCACACACAGCCATATCCTCTCACCTTGTTACACCTTCCTATGTAAAAATATACCTGTTTAGCAATAAATACCACACACTAAATGTCTTTTTTTGTATCTCAAAAGCAAAAGCCCTTCATGTTGGCTTACTGTAGCTTTACCTCGCTTGTTCCTCACCTATGGTCCTGGATATATTTTCAGCTCTACAGGGCATCTAACAATCCTTCAAATGAATCATCCTGGGAAAGAGGTCATTGCTTCATTTTAAGGGGTCACATAAAGCAAAAAGTTTGGGAACCACTGAGGGAGCTCATGCTGTATCACTGAGTCTGAAACAAGATTAAGACTCCACAGCCATGCTAGCAGCTCTGTGTGGCTACACTGTTTTAAGCTAAATGCTAACATGCTCACAATGACAATGCGAATATGTTTAGCAGGTATAACGTTCACCATTTTAAACGATCTTAGTTTAGCATGTTAGCATGCTAACATCATAAGTTTAAGAAGACAAAGAAAATAGATATACTTTCTTAATCTCCACAGGGAAATTCAGTTTTTTCACTCTGTGGCCATATACACACAGGCCTGAAATACACACACATGTACAAACAGGACCTATGCATGCATTAAATTTAGAGATGTCAGAGCGAGGGGGCTGCCCATGGACAGGTACCTTGAGCAATTGGGGGTTCGGTGCCTTGGCCAAAGGCACTTCTCCAGCTACCAGTTAACACTCCATATTTGCGGAGGGACTTGAACCAGCGACCCTCCTGTTCCCAATGTAGTTCCAAGTCCCTAAGGATGAAGCTACTGCCACCCCTTGTAACAGGTATTTGGCCAAACAGACCTACTGATCTAACCATCTATTGTATAAAGATGAGTGACATGACAGCTCTCCAAAAGTGAAGCCAAACCATCTTGTTCGCCCCCTGGTGGCTGGCTGCAGAATAGCCCCCCGCCCCCATGTTAGCAGATGGGACATGGGCCAAACTAAAAGATCAAAGTACACATCAAATAATTTTTGTCCAAAGATGGTGCCTGTTATTTTACGTAGTTCTTATCAGACTGCTGTTTGTTCAAGTGTTCATTTTTCTGATAAGTTTGGTTTTAATTCGTTATTTGATGCTATAAAAAGGGGGTTCAACAACATGATTGACAGCTGTGTGTGCCAATCGGTGTGCTCGCGATCAATGGTGCTGCTCGCTATTGGTTCGGCGGATGTATGGGTATGAATAAGATACTGCAGAGATCACTACCATGCAGACTCTGGTTCCAAATTACGTCACCAGCACAAGTTGGCAGTGGCCGTATCTTGGACATTTCTGTTTAACTTTTGTACAGTGGGAGGAAGTAGAGATGTGTTCTCCATCTTTACATACAGTCACTGGATCTAACCCGTTGATGGTGTTAAAGGTGTGGTGCAGAGGATTTAGTCTTATCTAATAGTGAGGTTGCAGAACAGAAACGTCTCGTGTGCCGAGCATGTAGGAGTACTACAGTGGCTAAACCGCAAATGGCCCTGTCTAAGGCCAGCCTTTAATTTGTCCACTCGGGGCCACCATAGAAACAACATAGAGGACTCTGTGGGAGAGGACCTGCTCCGTATGTGGATATACGGCTTATTCTAAGGTAACAAACACACCACAATTCTTATTTTAAGGTGATTATACACTAAAGAAAACATATTCTGAATATTATACACTATTTCTGCCAATGGACATCCCTAAACCCTTCAGACTGGACCT